TTTTCATCCAGTGATTCTGTGTCACCTCTGCCTCCACGGTCTCCTCAGCTCTATTTGTGGTGGCCTCAACTCTCTGCTCTTCTCGCTCTGCACCCTCTTCCTCGGAGCCTCAACCACACGCATGGCTTCAGTGCACTGCTGCGGCACTGCACAACCTGGTACAGCAGGTCACACTTAAGTTGCTACCAATTCTTCCTTGAAAAGAGTGTTCTGGTCAGAGAAGTTTGGGAAACTGTGCACAGCCTATCAGCCTTTGGGGCTTTACCATGAAGGTTAATAGTACAAGCTCTGAAGTCACCTTTCTGGGTGTGAACTCTGACCTTGTTCTAGCTGTCATGGACAAGTGACTCAATTGATCCGTTCCCAGTTCCCTCATCTGTACAATGACAAAAACTCCAGGACATACTGCATGGGGACATTGTGTGGAGAGGAATACATGAGTTAACACATGTAAAGTGCTTGACACAGGGTAAGCAGTCAGTATATTAAGATGTCTGAGAGTTCATGAAGAAGAGGAACCAGTTTTGCTTTATTTAACTCAGTATTTCCAGATTTATTTGCCCAGAGAACCTCGGACACCACTTAGTTTGGGGAACACATGTGACCTTTGGTCCACCTCAGCTCAAAACCCTCCACTGAGCTCCAGATCCACCATGCAACTGTAGGTGGGCATCAACCTCAGCGTGTCCCAAACCAAACACATCATCTCCTACCCCAGCAGGTCCCCCGCCCCCCACTCACTGTTGTAGTAAACGGCACCACCTTCCATTCAGTCTCCCAAACCCGCAATCCACGGGCTGGCCGGGACTACTACTCACTCACTGCTCACGTCTGTCACTGACTTCCGCAAACGCTGCCACCTTATTCACTCTCCCAGCTGTTCCCGTCTCTCCCTTCTCCCCCCTCTCAAGTGACAGATAGCAATACCATAATAACTGCTTTCCTTGACTTCGGTCTGGCTCCTTGTGAACTTTTTCCAGAACAATCGTTTTTAAATTCCTAATTAGTTATATCAATCCTCTTTTTTGAAGGTTTCTCATGCCTTTCAGGCTAAATATTAAACTAAAATCTTCAGCTTAGCAGACAAAGCTCTCCTGCCCCATGCGCTTCCCCCATGCCCATCTATTTAGAGGTGTCCAAACGTCTCATACTGTGTCATGTCTTTGCACAGACTGCTGCCTCTGTCTGGAATGCCCTTCTGCATCTGGATGGCTCTTACTCATTCCTGAAGACCCTAGGTGTCACCTCCTCTGGGAAGGCTCTCCTATCCCTCACTCCTAGTCTAACAGGGATGGTTCTTATCTGGTAGTTTCCATGGTTGACTCTTTATAATCTGTTTCTCCCCAAATGATTAGTCTAACCTAATCGTGGTAATTCCAGTCTTTTGGTCACATGTGGTTTAGAAATGGACACATGCCAAACCTGAAGATAAAAATTGAAGAGGGGGGAGAGAGAGAGAGAGAGGAGCATAAGGTGGGGGACGAAGGGGGGATTGTGTCTAAGAAGAGCATCCTGGAAAGGTGCAGGCTTTATCTCTTGACGTTGTTGTAACTGAAGCAGACAGCAGACACTCTGGCAGCCATCCTGTGATGCTGACAGCAACTGGTCTGAGGCTAAGCCTGGCCCCTGGAGAAGAGCAGTGTAGACATATGATATGAAACTGGTTCTCGACCCTGGAATCCTGCCTGACTCTGGACTTGTCTTGGATGACAAATCACCATACTATTTAACCCGCTTTAGTTAGAATTCTCCATTACTTGGTGCTGATGGTATCCTAATTGATGCAGCTGTCACCCCATCGTGTGGATCTCTTTATCAGCACATTATGCTATGCTGCAAATTTATTATGGGATTTTCCATTAAACCTTTTCTTCCTCATAGACAGGAATTTGAGATATCTACTACTAGAGAATTGCAGAAATCACCATGTGTGATGGCAAACATACGTAATAGCAATACATTAGAAGAAGCCCGACCAAAGTCAGGAACATGACAAAAACCTCTCACTACATATCAGTATTATTCTGATGGCCCTAGATAATGCCATATGATAAAGACAAAAAGTAAAGAAGTATAAATATTGGAAAGAAAGGCACAAAACTCACACTATTTCCAGATAATATGATTATTTACATAGAAAAGAGATTAAAATAAACCAGGGGAATTAATAAGAGTTCTGCTAGGTGCTCAAATGCAAGATTAACATATCAAAGTAGGTGGTTTACTATCTGCCAGCAAAGATGATATAAAAATATGATAATGGCATATCTCATTCAAAATAGCTAAATGCACAAATTAAAACAGTCATGTAATATCCAGGAATATCTATAACAAGAAATCTGCAAAACTTGCATGAGGACAATGTTAAAACATAACTGAGTAACATAAAAGGAAATTTCAATAGATGAAGAAACACAATGATGTTCCTGAATAGGAGGCCTCAATATTTTGAAAATTCAGCTCTCCTCTCATTAATCTGAAATTCAATGTGATTTCAATACAAATCTAAACACAGTTTTAAAAAAGACAAATGGAGAAAGTGCACATAAATAATCAAGAAATTTTTGGATAAAAAAGTAAGGAGTACATCCTGACAATGGAATATTATTCAGTTCTAAAATGAAATACCGTGAAAAAACATAGAGAAAACTTAAACACATATTACTAAGAAAAAGAGCCAATATGAAAAGGCTACACGCTGTATGATTCCAACTATATAACATTTTGGAAAAGGCAAACTATAAAGACAGTAAAAAAAATCAGTGTTTAGGACTGGAGGACAGAAGGATGAATAGGTAGAACGCAGAGGATTTTTAGGGCAGTGAAACAACTCTGTATAATACACAGTATAACGGTGGATACATGTAATAATACATTTGTCCAAACCCACAGAACATACAACACCAAAGTGAGCCCTAATGTAAACTATGAACTTTGGATAATCATGATGTATCAATGTAGGTTTATCAATTATAAAAAAATGTACCACTCTGGCAGGGGATTCATGGGTGGGGCAGGGGATATATGAGAAATCTCTGTACCTTCCTCTTAATTTTACTGTGAATCTAAAAATTGCTCTAAAAAAAATCTTCAAAAATAAAGCAATATGGGGGTAACTTGACCTATGCAATGTAAAAACTATATTATAAATTAGTAATGGAGCAGGAATACTAAAATACACATTTCAGAAACATACGCTTGAATATAATGGAAATTTGTTTATAATTACTAATTTTGCAAAAACTTGCTAACCAATTGAGGGAAAAAAGTTATATCCTTACATCATGGCATGCACACATAAAAATTCCAAAGAATTTAAAAGGTTAAACTAAAACAAATGTTAGATACCACATTAAATTGCCATTTTTGTAGGTCAAGAGCAGTTGATTATCAGTAATTTCATTTTGCTGAAGTTAATGAATAATTATGCAGAAAACACTTTTGTAATCTTGGCATGAGGAAAACTGACATAAAAAAATTTAGAATATACAAAAGTTAAGTAGTCTGCAATATGTAGAGGTCATCTGTACATACAAAAAGTACCTGTGTCGCCAAGTTAACACACAAAAAGTTGAAAGCCAAGAACCAATTAGGAGGAAAAAAAGTTAACATTTGTAAAAGGCAGAGAATTAATATTCAGATTATGAAAGAATTTTGATCTATAAGGAAAAGCCAAAAACACAACAGAAATGTACAAAGTAAAGAAAGAGGTAATTCTCAGTGCAAATAGACAATTATGAGAAAAGATCCTCACCCTCACTAGTAAAAAAAGATATGCAAGTTAAAACAATAAAATCTCATTTTTCTTACAACCATTTTGCAAAATTTTAATAAATTGGTCACATCAGGATTAGTGATTATGTGGGGGAGCAGACATTCTCACATCACCTTGTTAGTGAGCATTTATACTTTAGAGAATAATTTGCCCATTTCCAAAAAAGGTTAAAATTTGTATATCCTTCAACCCAACAATTATACTTTTAAGAACCTATCATTTAGAAATGCCTGTGTATGCACATTCATCACAGCACTGTTACAGCCAAAAATAGGAAATATCAACTTCCAACAGTAATTTGGTGATTACATATTATTCTACCAATTTTTAGAAGGATGTATATTAATATGTTGGTATTGATTATATTGATATGGAAAGTTCTTCAAGTCATAAGAAAAAGTGAAAAAATGAATTATAAAATAATATACCTAGAACAATCCCACTCATGAAAAAGAAAAACCTGTATTCTTTGTGTCACTATTCATAGATTAGCTACTAGAAGTACTAGGGTAAAGGAAAACATTCTATATATATGTGCTTTTAAAAATCTTTTAGAACAAAAACACATCATGTATACTGATGTCATTATACAACCACTATTAATTTTATCTAATTCACTTAGAAGTCAGTTCCACGCGTGTGCATGAGATATGGCCAATTCCAGACATTTCCCAGAATGTACTTTGTTTTAGTCCAATGGTGAATACCACATATACACATAACTGCAGCTTTGACGTTTTCAATTCATATTTCCCTCGAGGACCATATAAAATAACCTAAAACATGCTATTTACAACGAAAAGAAAGTTGGCAGACCATGAGTTTGATCCCAGCTCTTTATTTTATTCTATCTGAGGTCTGATCTGCAGACACTGCAGGAGGAAGAAGTGTCTGACCGTCCATCGCCTTCTCTATAATCCTGTCGTTATGGCGCCCCCTGGAGGAACAGGCCGGCGCTGCCTCCTCCCGCCGCGCGGCTGAGCAGGGCGAGGCCGCCTTTACCAACACTTTATACCATCTTCATTGAAGAGGGGACACGTGTCCCCATTTCTCCTGCTCACTCGCTCGCTCGCTCACTCCCTTTCCTGCGCGTCTCTGCTTTGCTCCCACCCTCTCTCTTCCCGTCCTTATCAGAAACCTCCACCACGAGCTCCCCTTGGGCTCCTCTCTGGGGTCCCAGCAGCGGGCACGGGGTACAGCGCAGGGCATGGCACCTACCACCTACCGGCGTTCCGAGCTGTGACCTTGGAGCCGTGTCTCAGCAGACGGACAAACACGTTCCCGCTGCAGTGGTTCACCATGTGCAAGTGGAGGCTGCGTCGAGTCTGGATCTTGACCAAGCATTTTGCCATGCTGGTGACTCCAACCTCCCCCGGTCTCCTCTGCCTGTCATGGCCCGGGGAGGCCACCGCCAGCCATAGCGGCTTTGGCCTTTGGCTGACTGTCCATTCTGTTTTAAAGGACCGAGTCAGGGTCTGGTGAATGAATCAAATGTCAGGTTCCTAACGCAGCCAACAGAAATAACTCATGAGAGATCAGCTTCGGGTGGGGACGAGGGGGACGCTATTTTTAAACTCTGTACTCACCCTCCCACAAACAATGAAATGTTATGCACCATCCCTACCCCTGCCTTTCTAAACCGTCCAGACCAGAGGACCCCTCCCAAATGCCTTACAGTGTCCTCAGAACCAAATGTCCCCAGAAGGTATGACAGCAGCTGGGTAACTCCGTGATGGAGAAACAACCCGCCCTGCTTTCTCTTAAAAAATATTTATTGAGCCTTTATGTTCCAGAACAGTGCTTTCCAATAAAAATACAATGCAAGCCACTTTATAGAGAGGAAAAAGCACTTTAAAAGTAAAAGAATTACAATTAATTTTTTTCCCCCCTTTTTGTCTTTTTTACTGACTGGTAACGGGATCGCAACCCTTGGTGTCGCCCCCACTCCGGGGAGTGGCAACGCGATCGCAACCCTCGGTATTGCGCCCACACCACGCTCAGCCAGTGAGCAGGAACCGGTCTCCACATGGGATCCGAACCCTCGGCACCGGGCTCCCAAGTGGGGCACTCTCCAGTGCGCCACCGGGCCGGCCCTACAATTAATTTTAACAATGTGTTTTATTTGAAGCCAAGATATGCAAAATAGGATCACAACATGTAATGATATAAAAATTAAATAGTTTACATTTTGGGAGGGGGGAATATGTCTCTGAAATTGGTGTGTGATGCACGTTCGGCGCATCTCAGTTCGCCGCATGTCAGGTGTCCGCAGCCGCGGGGCCCCTGCGCTGGGCAGCACAGCTCTGGACAAAGGCCAGCCCCTTACTCGCAGGGTCCACATCCGCACCACAACACTTACATCTCCTTAACAACAGCTTAGCGAGAGAAACTGACTTGACCAAATTCACTGTTAGTAAAGGGCAAAGCTGGGATCTGAATCCAGGCATCTAATTAATTTCAGTTGACCAAAAAACCACCCCAGAATGAAGCCATTAGTGTTTTCAATGCAGGAGCCAACTGGCACGTTAACTCTTAGCACTTTGAAAGTCCTGCACTTGGACATCTGAGGCATTAAATGTGCTTGCATCCCAGTATGAGTGCTCAGGAATCAAACCATTGTCGTGGTTTTTTTTAGAATATACTATATCTGAAAAAATTTCAACTGCTGAATAACTGTGCCTAACATACTATGTTAGTTATATGTCTTTGCTGGTACATTTTTCTCATCCTGATTTTCAGAAGAAAAAATGCATCTCACATAATTTCATCATGCATGCATACATTTTCCTACTTTAAATAGCTACTGCCACTAAAAGATGACTTTCTAATAAAAATATTATTTTATTTCCTGATGAAACAAAGGGTTATATCCAGAGCAGTCAGCTGAAATTCTGCATTGTTATGCTTCACTGTGGGAATATAAGGATTTATTTTCTGTTAATAAGTTTAGCAAAATATATGAAATTTTTTAGGTGTGGTATTCTTTGGTCCAGAAATTCTGCCTTTAGGAATTTACTATGAGGAAATAATTTGAAATGTTGACAAAAATTTTGGACAAAGACGTTCATCTGAGAGAGTATCATTTATTATAGCATAAAAAAAAAGTGAATCTAAATTTCCAATGGGAAAAGGGTTAGATACCTGTGATGGAATATTATACCAACATTAAAATCCATGTTTAAAGGATTTTAATGATGTGAGAAAATGCTTGCAATATACTACTAAATGAAAAAAGCATGTTTATATAAGCAGTGTGTCCTCAATGATGTAAAAAAGCACACAAGGAAAAAAAAAAAAAAAAAAGACCAGAGAGTAAATCCTAGAGCACAGCCAGCTGGTGCTGGGACCTGAGGTGGGGGTGGGACACTTCTGAGACCCTGGAGGCCATCAGTCTCAGGTATGGCTCAGCAGTTCCTACTCTCATGGGGGCTAGTCAATTTTCAGACTTCAAACCTGAACCTGAAACTGAAACCTAAAACTGTCAACCTAAAGATTCACAAGATCTTCAGCACTCTGCAATTCCCCTTATGATATAATTCTGAGCAGAATCCCCATATATAACACAGATGTACTGACACAGAGGTGACGCCCTAGAATGGTACCTACTAGGTCTTCCCTCACTAGTCACCAAAGAACAGATCTGAAAATCACTGTTCTAAATGAATTGTTGCTTTGGAGTAACACAGATGAAGAACTTCAGAGATGAATGTGGGCTTGTTTGCGTGGCACAGGCCAGGGTTCAATCCTGAGGACATCTCCCTTTGGCCTGTTTGGAGAGAATCTAGATAAATCTTTATGCTTATCATCATGTCGAAACAACACATGACCTGGCAGTTCACTCTAAATAGACAAGGCCTTCCAAAAACAAAGCAGAGAGCAAGTAAAAAACCCAAAACAAAGCCACCAGCCTTGATTCCCATTCTTTTCCACCAGGACAGTTGCTTTCCATTAAATCTCAAGTTTAAAATCTCACCACAGTTTCAAATCCTTCCTTCCTTTTATTATTTTGAAATTATTATTATTTATTGGTGCTGTTATTTATTATTATCATTTTAACTACAGCCTGTCATAATATTTAGTATTTCATACGTTTTTCATTTTTTCTTCTCTTGACCCTATTCTTACCGTCTATGCTACTACTCAGACCCTAAGTAGGTCCCCTTATTCCCTTCCTTTTTGGATCTTCTGCTTTTAGAGAAAGGGAACCAGCAGGACCAGCACTCTGGATGGTCCCAGCCATTTCTGTCCACCTTGACTGACTCTGCCTGAAAGGATCAAGGCAAGCAGAGGTTTGGAGCCAACCCAAAGACTCTGCACGATACTGCACTGTGAGTGTTGTTCTTGTTTGGGGCACGTGCTCAAGAGAACAGTGTCAGCGGCACAACATGCAGGGGCCCTTGTGTACTTTTCCTGTTTCAATTCACTTGTTTGTTTGAAGAATTGGGAGTGCATGTCTGGGCTGTGACAAGAGGCCAAAGAAATCAGAGAACGTGTGAAGAGGGGAATCGATTTTCCATAATGAGACGCAGGGAACACTGATAAGTCAGGCAGAAGCCAAAGAGGAGGAGAGAGTTCAGTGGCAGGAGCTGCTCACGGGCCTGAATTCCGTACCTATCACTGCCACAAACTCCCTGACGCAGATCTGGGGCAAGGTAATAAACCTGCCTCTACTTTGTGAGTGACCGGAAGTCATTAACTTGCGTGACTCAGGGCCCTGCTGCCTCCACTGTAAAATGGAGACGATAACTCCTCTCGTGGTTGTTATGACAAAGAAATGAGACATGCAGATGAGGTGCCAAACCTAGAGCTGGTTCCGAGCCGAAGGACCACAGCTTAGTAAGTGGTGCAGAAAGCCAGGCTGAAAGCACAGGTGCTGGGGCAGTCCCTGGATTCTACACCTGGCTGCACTGTTCATACCTCTGAGCCTCAGTGTCCTCATCTATAAAGTGAGCATCGTAAAGACAGCATGTACCTCCAAGGCCGTGGCGAGGATCAGGTTAGCACACGGCCTGCTCGGATCAGCATCTGGCCCAGCAATTACTCAATAAATGCGAGCGATTTGTTTTTTCAACACATGCTCATTCCCAGTCTCTTTTAACTGCTCAAGAGCAAGATAATGAGGATTTAAAGTCTGAATTCTCTTCCGTCAACCATCTGTCTCTTTAACATGTTATTACTAGTGACTTCTCCCCAAACACTGGGGAAGCAATGTAGGTTGTTAAGAGTTCACCTGGCCAGCCCGCTACCTGGGGAAAGTTAGAATTTCTATCTGTAAAGTAGTGATGATATTGGTGCTTACATGACTGGGTGTCTGATATGCAGGAGACACTTAATAAATGCTAACTATAATTATGTCACCATCAATATCATGTACTTTGTTAGCTGTTCCAGTAATAAACGGGTGTAGTGGATTTAATCATTAGTCCAAATAGGTATGGAGACTCACTGAAATTTTAGCTGCTAACCCCAAGCAGAAAGATAGTAAATATAAAATATTATTATATCTATTAAAAGTTCTTTCTAATAAATTTAGACTTTAAATATCTATTAAGAGTCTTTAGGACTATAATATACATCAAAGGACTTTACTAATATTTTATTAATGTAGTAATAAATAATACAAAATATTTCCATAATATATTTGTGACAGAATGAATATATTCTTGGGTGTATACTAAGGGGAAACAGAGGCAGCTCCCAACACCACCGAGACAGGACCACACGGCCGGTGATCAGCCATCTGCATAATTCAATTTCCTCCTCTGGAAAGTGAGGCAACAATATCTGTCCCAGCCACTTCAAACTCATGGTCATGAGTATCAAATTATGATAAGTTACATGAGAGAAAAACTTGGAAACGTGTAAGACGCTTTGTCACATGGAAACTCTTCCTCTCCTGGTTCCCCTTCTCAGATCAAGCCTTCCTGAGGATTCCTGCCTGTAAGTGAGAGCGCTGCTCACTGGGGATGGACGTCACCAAGCGGTGGTGGGAGAAAGGCCTGTGCAGACCCTCGGGGGAATTACAGTCTCAGACAGAGGGTGATTCACACAGGGCAGCTGGGCTCGCTTCAGACCGGTGTTGGGACCCCCACGCCCAGTCCCTGATGACCCTGAAGCGAGGTTTTTCGTGGTAACTGTGGGGAAAACTAGAACTTGCTGCTTCAAGGGTTCCTCCTATTTTTGTAATAGAATAAAAGTTTCTAGATTCATTTCTCCATCAATTCAGAGACTGACCTAGCGCAGGATCCCCACCGCTGCACAGTGTTCTCACCGAAACGCTCATCTGACCGTCCCCTGGGTGTAAGTGGCACCTTTCCATGTGCAACATGGACAGTCATGCCATGAGAGAGATGCCAGGCTGCCAGGGCGTCGTTGGCAACCTCCCC